ACTTTCGTGTAATTCTGGCTTCGTATCCACGCTTTAAAGTAAAAGAAAAAAGAAAAAGAAAAAATATATATACATATGTATATATATATATATATATATATATATATATATATATATATATATATATATGTATGTATGTATATAATATCTATCTATCTATTTATCTATCTATCTATCTATCTATCTATCTATCTATCTATCTATCTATCTATCTATCTATATATATATATATATATATATGTTACTGTATTACTTGGTAACAGCAATCTGATACTTATGGCTTAATCCAAATTCACTTATCCATCCTCTTAACCTTCAGTTTTGGATAAAAACAAGATTGATAATCCCCAGGCCTCTTACTGCCGTGCGCCGATGGAGAGTCGAGACCCAGTTAGAGAATAAACACAGTGTTGCCATTGATATTTCCACGAAACTGTTAGACTCGACTCTAAAAAAACGCTAGACAAAAGAGTAAAAACCTCCTCCTTTTCCAGCTAAAAAGGACTTTTAAAGATTGCTAACTATAAATTAAACTTTCGAAAATTTCTCGCTAAATCATAAGTCCAAAAGTCTAGATCTATCGGGAAAATCGCTAGAATGGCAACACAAGAAGCATTATGGGAAACCGTGATCAGTTTCAAGAGTTCCTCCCCCTTATTTAATTGTGAAATTATTTAAGCAACCCTAACTATAGACATCTCGGATAATTGTTTTAGTTTACTCTACTAGTTCTGACCCTAATTTTTGCTATATTAATATGTCTCTGAAAGAAAAATTAGTATATAAACATTTCAGTAGAGTTGGCAATTGTCTTGCTCTCTCCAACAGCCAACATAATTTAATAGTAGCTGATACACCTTCATTAAATGTTGAACTACAATAGATTTACACACACACACACAAGTATATATAATTAACGGGTATTCATTCCACGGAGGCGACTTTCTGCACGACTCCAGCCATGGCGTTTTGTTGTTTGTCCATATATATATATATATATATATATATATATATATATATATATATATATATATATATATATATATATATATATATATATATATATATATATGTATATATATATATATATATATATATATATATATATATATATATATATATATATATATATATATATATATGGACAATATAATATATATGTATGTGTCTATAGATATATATATACATATACATATATATATACATATATATATATATATATATATATATATATATATATATATATATATATATATATACATATGTGTGTGTGTGTGTATTTATATATATGTATGTATGTATGTATATATATACATATGCATACACACATACACACACAACATACATACACACACACACACACACACACACACACACACACACACACACACACACACACACACACACACACACACATATATATATATATATATATATATATATATATATATATATATATATATATGCATATATATTATATATGTATATATATGCATATATGTAACATATGCATATATGTAACATATGTGTATATGTATATATATGTATATACGAATATGTACATAAATATACATGCACATCTGAATCATGCACGACTGCATACACATAACATTTCTTTTATTTATTTATTTTTTAACGTATATCACGTACCTGGAACTTACCTTTTACGATGAACCGTTTCCAGAGATGTTTGCGCTCCGGCCTTCAGTTCCAAGCAGGCAATGCCGGTTGAATGCTTTGCGGAAGAAGGCACCACTTTGTCAATATCGGTTCGGCCCAGATTTCGACAAGAGGAGGAATCACTTGTTAAAATGTTCGAAACTGATATGAAACTGAAGCGTTGGTTTGCTGTTAGGTTTCGCCATTTTGAACTTTCTAGTTTACCTTTCAGTGCTTTATTAATTATTTTGCAGATGAAGATATATCATGTTATTAAGGGAAAGACTTGTGAATTAGTGGAAACCTGTGCGGCAATACTTAACAGTTTTCGATAGTGTACATCTTTTGTTTTTAGTATTTGACTGATATTGGTAAATTATTTTCTTCGTTTTACCAGAATAATAGAAGAGTGGGTTACCCATCGATGCAAAGAATCATAAAATAAAAGCTCAGACTGAAATATATTTCTTACAAACTTAATTTCTCTCTCTCTCTCTCTCTCTCTCTCTCTCTCTCTCTCTCTCTCTCTCTCTCTCTCTCTCTCTCTCTCTCTCTCTCTCTCTCTCTCTCTT